GGTGGGAATGTAAACTAGTACAACCACTCTGGAAAAAAATTTGGAGGCTACTTAAAAAGCTAAACATTGATCCACCATTTGATCCAGAAATACCACTCTTGGGGATATACCCGAAAGACTGTGACACAGGTTACTCCAGAGGCACCTGCACACCCATATTTATTGCAGCACTATTCACAATAGCCAAGTTATGGAAACAGCCAAGATGCCCCATTACTGATGAATGGATCAAGAAAATGTGGTATCTATACACAATGGAATTTTATGCAGCCATGAAGAAGAACAAAATGTTATCATTTGCTGGTAAATGGATGGAATTGGAGAACATCATTCTGAGTGAGGTTAGCCTGGCCCAAAAGACCAAAAATCGTATGTTCTCCCTCATATGCGGACATTAGATCAAGGGCAAACACAACAAGGGGATTGGACTTTGAGCACATGATAAAAGCGAGAGCACACAAGGGAGGGGTGAGGATAGGTAAGACACCTAAAAAATTAGCTAGCATTTGTTGCCCTCAACGCAGAGAAACTAAAGCAGATACCTTAAAAGCAACTGAGGCCAATAGGAGAAGGGGACCAGGAACTAGAGAAAAGGTTAGATCAAAAAGAATTAACCTAGAAGGTAACACACATGCACAGGAAATTAATGTGAGTCAACTCCCTGTATAGCTATCCTTATCTCAACTAGCAAAAACCCTTGTTCCTTTCTATTATTGCTTATACTCTCTCTTCAACAAAATTAGAGATAAGTGCAAAATAGTTTCTGCCAGGTATTGAGGGGGTAGGGGGAGAGGGAGGGGGTGGAGTGGGTAGTAAGGGAAGGGGTGGGGGCAGGGGGGAGAAATGACCCAAGCATTGTATGCACATATGAATAATAAAACAATAAAAAATTTTTTAAAAAGTATTTTATGATTTGAACTCAAAATGTCCCCCACTCACAGCCCTATCAGTGCATCTAGGAATACGAACTGAAACTTCTGCAACTGTGACCAAAATTAGTATTTCCCCTAAGTTGTCAGGTAGTTTGTCACAGTAACAAAACTAACACAGCGGAGAACTGAAATATCTCCATATATTTTGAGGAAAGGAAAACAACAATGAACAACCCAGTCCCAGAGTTCTTAAGGGGCTGGCTGGGATTTTTGGGGGCAGTACTGGGGATTGTACCATTCTAAGATACTACAGGAAATTGGGCTTAATTTCTCCTGGAAACCTACTTGAAAAAGACTGGTGAGGCACTAGATCACTTTGCCCTCTTTCCCTCTACTTCCAAACTATCCTGGCCTCAACCCCATGGAATCTATTTTTCTAATGTCAGACTTTGCCCTGTATTCAAATTCACAGAGGGAAATTGAAGTCTGACCATACCCATCTTTTTTTACTTGATTTTTGTGGTGCTGTAGTTTGAACTCAGGGCCTGCACATTCTAGGCAAGTGTTCTATCCCTGAGCTATATCCCCAGCTCAAAACACACACATACGCTCTTGTTTCTTCTCAACCTATACTCTTCTCTTCAGTTCCTACCTTTGTCAAGTTCAGTATGTAACAAGTCATCTTTTTGTGACTTTTTAACTCATTTTTGATCCATAAACAAAAATCTTCAAAGCTTTTCTGGAAATCTAAAATATACAATTTCTAAGTATTCTGAATAATTTGTGAAGTACACATAAATTCTGAGTTATCCTATATATTTGAATTCATGACGAAAGATAAATTACTCTGCTCAAAGAGGTGGTGTAGGTTTTTAACACTTTTGCTTGACTATCCTAAGAGAATAAGCAAGTCCTAAAGAATAATGACTCCCAAACACAGTGAGGCTTTTGTGAAATGTGCTAGCTAGAAAACTTACGGTATATTACCGAGCCATAGCAAATAATATAAGAGAATTTCATTCCACAAACTAAGGATTTTTTTCTTTATACCACAACATAATGAGACTAAAAAATTATTTTTCTTGCTAACATTGAGGAGCAACAGCTTATTTAGCTTATACAGTGATGATTTTTTTCTCTTAAAACAAGGATGACAATGATTCTTAAAAAAAGAACATCTGAAGCAGTTGAGAAAACTATCCCAAAACATCAGTACATCAGTACATGGGAACAGTAGCCATGCCACACTATGCTATAAACCTTGGGTTGGCAAACTGTCCAGAAAGGGCTGGAGGGTACAGATTTTAGGCTTTCCAGGACAATCTCTGTAGCAGTCAACCAACTCTGTCACTGTAGCTCAAAAGCAGCCATACACAGTAAGTAGAAGAATGAGTATGGCTGTGTTCTGATAAAACTGTGGTTGTGATACTAAATCTCATGTTAATTTCCATTCACAGTCTTCTTTTTAAAAAAATCTTTAAAATGTAAATGTAATTCTTAATGTACAGACTATAAAAAGCAGGGAGTGAGCTAGACTGGACCCACATACCATAACTGGCAGTCTTTCATACGTGACTTTATATGTTATGCAAAATGCTTCAAATTTGACTTTGGAGACTTTCAGTTTTTAGATTTCTCATTTAAAAATTTATACCACACGTTTTCTTTGTGATTAAATACACTCAGATGAAAAAGAAAAATTCAGAGAAAAGCACAATCCCTTCCTTCAAAAAAAGCTGTTAAACAAATATTTCTTTTAAAATATACAGTTCAGAAACATGTAAAATGAAGTATTAGAATTTTTATTCTATGCAATATAAAACAATACGCATAGATTTAGTATGTAATTTCTTAGTTGTTACTTTACGAAAAAGACAATGAGAAAATGGTTTATAAATCTCTCCATCTCTTTTATAAAAAGTTGCTACTGAAACCCACAATCACCTGCCTGTACAACCCTCAGCTCTGAGTATAACATGAATTACATCTAGTAAATGGGATTTACATTGATAGGAGTTCTGGCTGCATTTTAGAACACATAATTGTATCATAGAACACTGTGGCTTCTACAGCATGTAGACAATTTTGAAAAGAAACTCCTGCCTCCGTAACATAAGGAAACAAGAGTATCTTTTACACAATCGGCATCCAGTATAAAAAAAGAAAAATCTCAGTCTGATTTACCTTTATCAAAGGTAAAACAATTTGCTGCTACATCTGCACGAAATATTTTGATCCTTAGTAGTTCTTTAAAATGTTGCATGAACTTTCACCTATTTGGGTTTCAAAATACAAAACATATTCGACTCACAGGAATCCATGGACTAAAGAAAAAGGATTTGGATATAAAATGTTTACCAACTTTATCGTTTCTAATTTTACTACTTCACGTATTGAAGCCTAATTGGTTTCTTGTGCCTAACCATCAAGAAGACAACTCAATCTTCTATTTTGAACATCATTTCAGTGCCATCTTTTGTTTGGTGCTTCCCTTTGCCACGTACAAGGTCACTTCGCCCAACTTCAATCATGTGTTCTTCCCAAGTTTTCATTTCAGTATTGTAACGAATTTTATCATCTTCAGCAAGCTGAACATACACCTGAGAAAAAGCATAATTATTAAAATAACTTGTTTAGAGAAGAGCAATTAATTTCTTGAATGCTTCTTTATGCAGTAGACCACTGGTATCCACAGATCTATAGATTCAAGGAGGCCACTGTGGAGGAAAAACCATGAATGCTCAAGATACACAGAGTTCAGTACCGTACTGTAAATGCTTAATTCATTTTTCCCAAAATGCCCTCCAACTTCCACTGAAGACATGCCGCCTTTCAAAAACTTTAAAATTTTCAATTGATCATTTCAATTAAGGACATTCACTTTTACCTTACTTTTTGGGAGACATAGTTTCACAAAACTAAAGGCAGCAAATCACAAAATAATTTAAACACAACTTAATGACAATGGGACTAAGAGTTTCTCTCCATCAACTGAGCTACAAATG